AAACCGGCGAGATATCGCCTCCAAATTTTTCCCTTATTTGAAAAATGGACTCGTCCAAACTATCATGACAGCGGTCGAGCCGTGGAGCCAATGAGCGAGCTCTCAAAGATTCTTGGTGTTGGGAAAATACTAACGCGCGCGGCGCGGCGCGGCACGGCGGCCGGGCGCCGCTGCCAGGCACGTCGACCGGCGCTGATTAAAAGGAGTATTCGTCTTGACAGGGCCTTTAGCTAGCTAAAACTGGTCTCGGTCTAATTTGCAGAGCCCTATACAAATCTACCCTCTCTGTACCTCTCATAATCTTGAATGCGTTTATCTGCTCTCCTCTACCTCCACGATATTTCAGTGAATACAACCCCAAGGCTCTAAACCTTATATTCCAAATTGCCCATTCTATTTATGATCCACGCAGTTTTTTGCTGTGTTCCCTCCAGCCTATCCATATTTTTTGAGAGCGTGGGGACCAAGCCTTCACGCAAGTACTCTAGATGTGGTCTGACATAATCTAAGTACAACTTTTGGATACCATTCTTACTCTTGCAGTGAACTATCAGATCTCTCCATGAGGTCCCCTATCGGATAACGTTAATCAAATCCTGCTATTCCGCTGGTCATGCGGCGTTCAAGGTCAATACAAAAATAATGATTGAATAACTCATATTTGACGTTCGTGAGCACGATTTCCAAATGCAACGACCGTCAATTTATTCTCAACCAATGTTTCACAAGTTATGCAAGATCCTGACTAGTATTACATTGCGTGATATAAATACAAGAAGTTGTACATTATTCCTAGTTATTATGGCATTACACCTTCCCACCGACTCATTCAAGAATAGCGCCATAACCGAGTATGTGAATACAAGTAGGCGCCTTAAACTCACAAATAAATATGCGTGAATGCCACGAGGAGGGGCCAAAACGCGAGAGCCTAACGATGTTCGGTTCAGCACACATCCAGCACCGCAGCGGGTCGCCTCTCGGGTACGTGAAGAACTGCAAGGGAGTGTTGTGGAACATTTCCTTGAAACAGAGTGCACCGTTTTTGTATAAGATTATCTTAGAATATCATTGGCAAACATCTGAAACTGAGTGAAAACTTTCTGGTGGTATGCAGTTCCTCCTGTATTGATCACGAATTTGACATCTAAGCTTGACCTTGACACCTTCGTTCTAAAACTAGCTGTAAAAACATGTCCTTGTTGTAGTTTGTATATATATATATATATATATATATATATTTATATTATATATATACTATACGTATATATATACATATATATATATATATATATTATATATATAGGATGGAAAACCAGAACATAAGCAGAGGAGTTCCAGGAATTTTTTCTACCTGTCCCCTTATGGCGACTTCCACAACTTTGCCCCACCAATCATTTTGAGAAATTGACACCCATGGGCTCATAATAAGGATCTGCGGCCAGATGCTCGTCAGTAACAAACGCCAAGCACCACTGGTGGATATCATTCATGGTGCAGTTTGTAGGATTAGATAAATTGCATAGCTTAAAATGCAAGGCGCTTCTGACGCTTAAAAATCCGAAGATAGCTAGTAACTTAACGTTCCTAAAGTTGAGCGAACTATTCACTTATTAGCAACGAGGTCCGGTTTCAGTTAAATGCATCAAATAGTGAGTGACTGCATAAAAACATGGTATCTGACCACTACTTTTTAATATCACCTGATCTCCAACGTGAGATTCAAGGTAAACTCACCGAGAACTCATACCACCCTAAAGTTGCAGGCCATTTTTTTATTTTAAAGCATCAGAATCTTCTCCATCGCAAGAAATTTTGACTGCTAAAAGTCTAGACCTCTAAAGGTTACCCCTTAAGGTAGAATTGAAATTCAAGTGATGGGGGGCCTGCCTTCACCCAGACCGAGCTCCGATCTTCTTCAGCGCATAAACCAGCGACAAAAGCCAAAAAATCCAAACCTCTCAAGGTCAATTTTCGAAGTGAAAATCAAGGTCAAGTGAGAGTATCCGACATTCGAAACTTTTCCAGAGCACAAACAAATTGCATGCTGACAAAATGTAGAGCTCTTAATGGTCAAGCTTGCAGATCAAATGTATGGTCATTCCACGAGTAGCCCCTTACCACCATGAAGCTTCCACTTAATTTCAGATATTTATGAATGATAGTTATTCTCAGCAAACAATCTGCGTCCATGGAACCAAACTGGAAGTGTAGAAATGTTGCTAATTTTTAAGCAGCTTGTTCAATGACACCCTATTTTCGGTGTTGTTCCTATAGTGATGAATGATGTAATGATCGGTGAACAGCCACCTGCCACCGAGTGTGGCAACTGTGTTCTGATTCTCTCCGTGCAGCCCTCAAACAGATCAATAGGTACGCACGTCATGCTCGCTGCGGGCTGACAGCGCGCTCGTGCCTCGAGAGCAGTTCGCTCGATCAGGCGCGCGCCCGTCGATGTCAGGCGGCACGCGGAGCCCGCTGGCGCACGCCGCTGCGCCGTGGCGTCCCCATCGCGGCGCGGCGACAGCAGAGGCCGCCGCGCCGTGGCGTCCCATTGCGGCGGTGAGGTGATAGCAGAGCCGTCGCGCCGTGGCGTCCGTTGCGGCGGGACGACAGCAGAGTCGCCGCACCGTGGCGTCCCATCGCGGCGGGGCGACAGCAGAGCCGCCGCACCGTGGGTCCCATCGCGGCGGGGCAACAGCAGAGTCGGCGCGCCATGGCGTCCCATCGCGGCGGGGCGACAGCAGAGCCGCCGCACCGTGGCGTCCCATCGCGGCGGGGCGACAGCAGAGCCGCCGCGCCGTGGCGTCCCATCGCGGCGGGGCGACAGCAGAGTCGGCGCGCCGGGCCAGCCGCGGCCGCCAGTGACGCCGCCGGCGGGCCGGCGCTGGCCCGCCGCCCGCGCTGGCCCGCCCGCGGCGCGACATGTCATCGGCCTGGCGCCGGCCGAGACCTGGCTCAGATCGGCCCGCGACTCGGCGCCGGGCTCAGCGCACACGCAACACTATCCGCCTGCATGCTCGCTGACCTGACGCTGCTGGCGCAAATAACGGAGTACATGTAGCTCTAAACTTCGCCTTCGCCGCGTCGCATGCTGCGAGAGCGACCGGCTTGGCTTATTATTGTTTTGGCTTGGCCTACTATTTGGCTTAAATATTCCTGGCTTGGCTTGAATGAATCCAGGTGAATAGCTCCTTCGAACGCTCAATAACACTTGCGTTTCGACGGAAATGGGCTCCGGGTGAGACGTCGCCAGCTTCAATCTAAGCTTATACAACGCACATGCGGCAGGAGCGGATCCAGGAATTCGTTAAGGTGGAAACCACTTACCTTTGAAGGACCGCGCAATAAAATGGGGTTGTCCGAGGTCCCATGGACCTCCTACCCCTTGTTGTGCTATCTCCTCGGATCATATCGGAAGTTCGTGCATGTTAGAAACACACTGGGTCATTTCTATAGGTTTGGGGCACACTCGAGCTCTTGTAGAAATACCTCAACCACGACTTCGTATGAACAGGAGGACGTACTTGGCCGCGTAAATCTGACCCTGAGATTCACATAATCTCACTGAATCAAGCAGCACGGTTCAGCGACGATGTTTGACAAAGGTATAATCCCGCCCCCCCCCCCCCACCCCCCACCCCACCCCCTCCCGTCCCACCACCACCACACAAAAATATCATCATACTTTACCGGAAAACGTCGATAACCAAAACTTCGCCAATTCATACGTCCGCCGCTCGCGGCGAGTCGAGTGTGGGGCTGATGCCTTCTTGGTCATATTTGGGTCAAGGGCTGATGCCTTCTTGGTCATATTTGGGCCAAGGGCTGATGCCCCAGGGACCTCTTTGGTGCGCGGAGTAGCCTACCGTCAACATCGCCTCGAGCCGGCGCCCCGACGCTGGCGTGTGACCGCGCCCGTGCTCTCGCAAGAAACTGAGACGGACGCCGGCTCGGGCCGCGGACCGACTCCTTGCCCGGTGCGGACGGAAATAGCCGCCGCTGCACCGCGCTGACGGCTGTCGCATCGATGGACGACGTGGTCGATGAGCAGTCGGTGCGCGAGCACTCCGAGGACCAGGGCGCGTCCGCCGAGTGGCGGGGTAGACCGGGCGCAGCGCGGCCGGAGCACGTGACGCTGGCCGAACAGCGCACGCCGTCAGCAGTGGCAGGGCTGGCATCGACCAACGATGACGACGTTTGAGCATTGTCGCTGGCGTTGGGCTGCTTCAGCAGTGGCTCGCTGCTCACGTCTGAGCCGCGCCGCCGCCTGACCGCCGCGACAGACAGCATCGTCATCATCCTCGCCAGCCGGCGGAGCGGGATGGAGTCGTCCTGTGACGCGGCCGGAGCGACACGGCCAGCATCAGAGCAGGGCGCTGCCGGTCGGCCCGACTCCACGGCTGTGCCATCCAGCGGCGCAGAGCCGCCGTCCGAGGCGCCGCAGCTGCCCATCGTCACCATCACCTCCGACAGGAACGTCGTGCGGCGCGTCAACTCCTTCTCCCGCTTTACCGTGCAGGCGGTGCCGAGCCTGGCGGCGCGGGCGATGTGTCCGCCCCCCGGGGCCGGGGCCGGCGCTGGGGCTGGTCCCAGCCCCAGCCTCGTTTCCATCCTCGGTCTGGGCTGCTGCTCCGTCCACGTCTCCGACTCCGGCTCCGGTCCCGACCTCGGCTCCGGTCCCGGGCCCGGTCACGGCTCCGGCTCCAGAGTCGGCCCCGCCCCTGGCCCAGGCTCGGGCTCGGGCTCCGGGCCCGGCCCCGGCTCTGGCCCCGGCTCCGGCCCCGACTCTAGCGCCGACCCCGGCTCCGGCTCCGGCTCCGGCCCTGGCTCTGGTGACGAGCCGGTGCTGCGCGTCCGCTCGGGCACGCTGCCGGAAGGTCGGACGCCGCGGCCCGGCTCCGAGGACGGCCTGCTGAGCGGGCGCCGGCTGCCGCCGCGGCTGGCCGTGCCGGCCGTGCCTCGGCGCGCGTCCGCCTCGGCCCTGCAAGACCTCACACAAGGCAGCTTCTCCTCGCGCCGTCGCAGCTTCAACAATTGGCTGCACCAGACCATGCACCATGACAGGTTAAGTGTGCGCGGAGGATGTGTGGTCTGCGTGGTGTGCTGTCTTGGTCCGCTGTCGTCGGCGCGGCTGCTGTCTGGTTCTCCGGGAACAGTCGGCAGATGGCGTTACTGAATAGTCGTGACTGATCTCGGGCCCAGGAACAATTCCGGACATATTCTTCTGGAACCCTTAGCCACGCTCTATCCGTACACTGTGTACGTGTGCATGATCCAGGGGGGGAGGGGCGCTGGTCCATAGTCCGCCTTGGGCCCCGAAGGGTTCCCTAGCCGGCCGAACAAACGCAGTTTTTTAGGCGCAAAACGCAATAAAATGGGACACCTTTGTTTTCAGGCAACCAAGAACAATCACAAGCAAAGGTGAAGGGCCCACGACTATACCAAAGAAATGATTTACTGATTGAGGGATGGTGATTGGGAGATTTTAAATATCATTACGCTGTTCAGAGTCACTGTGCGTTTCCGGGGACTTATACGTCCACTTAAAGGGTCAATCCGATCGTTAAGGAATATTCTACGTTCCCCGTGATTTTTTGCTTTTTTCGGAGGGCATTAGGCTGCTGCTGGGGCTCCGTAGGTCCTGCTCCTTGCTGGGGCTTGGGCTCCTGCCAGCGTGCCCGGACACTCTTGTCAACCAGGGGACTTCAACGGATTCTTTCCATTCGCCCGAAAGGCTCTATACGCCATAGTCTGGCGCCTCACACGTTAACCTGCCGGGCTATTCTCGGCTGCTCAGGGACCCTTTACGTTGGTCTCGGTTGACCTCTCTAAGTCTCGGTTTCTCGGACTCTTCCAATTTCCTGCCACTTGCTTAGGACCATACGCTCCTGTCAGGCCCATCCGTTTACATGATTGAGAGCATTCGGCTGTTCGGGGGCGCTTCAAATTGGACCTAGGGTACTTCCTCCTTGAATAGAGGGCTCTACAAACTTGTCCGGGGCCCGATCTGTTGGCTTGTTCGGGCACACTGGATTGTTCAGGGGCCCTAAGTGAGTTTGGGCTTCGGCATTTGAATGTAGGTCCTCGCGCTCTTGTCGGGGGCCATCTGATAACCTGCTCGGGTCTTGAGTACTTCCTATTTCAATGGAGGGCGCTGTGCTCTTGTCGGAGGCCCTAAGTGTTAGCCTACTCTGGCACGCTCGGCCGTTCGGGGGCTCTTTACATTGTGTAGTGGATATTTGTTATTTGAATGGCGGGTCTTACGCTTTTGTCGGGGCCTCCATCCGTCAGTCTGCTCGAGCACACTCGATCATTCCGGGACCCTTCATATTGTGTCTTGGGTACTTACGATTTGAATGGATGGCCTTATGTTCTTGTCAGTGCCCCATCTATCAGGCTGCTCGGGGCAATGGCGGATTCAGAGGGGGAGGGGGGCACGGGACCATGCCCCCTTGCGCCCTCAGGGGACCCATATGCTCCGAAGTGGCACATAACTGTCCAAACAAACAGACACAATTTTCTTACACAAAACGCAACAAAATTAAATATCTTTCGGCTCCCAGACGACTACGAGCAGTTGCAAGTGAAAGTCAAAAGCCCGAGAGCAGACAAAGTTAGTTCTTCGCTGAATGAAAGAAAGGTGATTGGGGAAATTTTTGAGGCATTGTTTTTGAGGTGTTGCCCAGAGGCGTTACGCTGTTGCCGGGCCCTACAGGTTCAATGGCCGGGTCAATCCGATCGCTGAGGGGCTTTCCACTTTTTGAAGATTTGATCCGGACCTTTTGTATGAATGCATTTCTGGGATTAGAGATAACGCTAAGCCGTGCTTGTTGAGTAAGCCCAGATCACCACCATCCGATCACGCAATTTCAGCTCAACGGAAGAATTTGCTGGCGAAAGCTTAACTTGCCGCACTGTTCGGCACGGTCCGTCCTGCCCTCTGACGTCATCTGACCTTTACCGCGGCACGCTGCCACCGGCCGCAGGCCATACCCGTCAACGACAACCAGCGAGCACCTAAAGCGACTCTAAATCACCGTAATGCTCAGTACGGTCCTTCCTGCCCTCTGACGTCATCTGACCTTTATCGCGGCCGCTGCCACCGGCTGCAGGCTGCACCTGTCAAGGACAAATAGCGAGCGCCTAAAGCGAATCTAGCTCACTCCGCCGCGGGTGGGTGAATCGGGAGGCAGGCGGCCTGACCAACTGAGCCACCGGGACTGACGCTGCCCTTGCTCTCTCTGCATTTTCGATACGCTCCTGTCGAGACACTATCCGCTAGCATGCCTGGTCACTCCTCATTGGTCAGGGGTCCTCCATGAATTGTTCCAATCGCCCGAAAGGCTCTATACGCTTGTGTCGGGGACCGTATGCCGGGGTACACTCAATTGCTCATGGGCCCTTCAAATCGGTCCCGGGCTCTTTCAACTTGCTCGCAGGACCTTGTGCTGTTACTGTGGCCCGTATAATGCAAAGCACTGAGGCACCCGATGCTCAGGGGCTCTCTGCATCGATCTAGGGCTCTTTACCTTTGAGCTTATTAGGGGAGGACCCTTCACATCTATCAGGGTCATTCCTTTTAACCTGTCAGAACAATCTTGATCGCACAGCGGCATTAATCCATGTATACTTGTCTTGGGTAGTTTCCATTTGCACAGAGGCCGCTGTGCTTTAACATATGCTCTAGCCTAGTTCAGTCGGCCTGCCGGTGTGCTCCCGATCGTTCGCGGGCCCACCATGTTGCCATTGGTGCCTTAGCCTTAGACCAGCAGTCTGATATGCGCTGGTGAATATTTACGCGCCATTTGTCTAACATACTTTGGCGTGCCGCCGAAGTTTTATTGTGGCATTTCCGTTGGCTGTTGAATGTGTGACACCTATTGTGCTTGTGCCCTCCGTTCGGAAAGGAAGTGCTGAACATTTGTATAGGGTTTTGCACTGAAAACCCATCTTGAAGATCGTTCGCTGCAATTGACAGCCCTGTCTTTTTGAAGACTTAAATAAACCCTCTAGTTTCTGAGCTATACGCCAACGAAGATGTGCAGACTTTTTCGGGGTGACAATTTTAAGACCACCCAGGCGTGTGTGTGTGTGTGTGTGTGTCATTGGGGTTTTACGATGCACTCAGCTGCTGAGGCTATATGGCGTCGCCTGCCTCTCAGCCTGGCAGGAATGGTGGGCACCGTGGGGAATCGAACCCCGTACCTCTGGTTTCCCAGTCGCACAGTCGTTAACGCAGCCGCGTTAACCACTACACTGCCCCCACCCCCGAGGCCACCCAAACATTTATCGCGCCATAACAACGTCATCGAATTCCAACCGTTCTATCAGTCTGCGGTGATTAAGACTAAGAAACTTGCAATTGTCGAGTCGTTCATATCTGGCGTTCGTAGCTACGATTTCCAGATACAACGGCTGCCAATTAGCTCTCAATCAACGTTGTGCAAGGTCCAATGACGTAATCAAACAATGACGTACTGAGGAGCATACTAACGAGACAGAGATGTTGTGTTGGCTATAACAGTCTTTCCCACCCAAAAGTATACCAACGTTTATAAAGGAGTTTATTTCGTTACATCTGATGCTTGCCTCATTATCTTAAAATGTGGATAATTACCTTCAACACATTTTAAGTCCTAGGAGATTTTGTATTCCTTCATAACAAACAAAACATTAACTTTGCATTAGTCATCAGCCATCACCTGATCATATTGACCAGCCGGCTAGCCGTGAATAAGCTAGGAATCAAGTAAGTGCGTGATTTTGATTGTATTTAGCGGTTATCTTTTATCTGTTTTGCCATGGTTTTTCGCAATATTCGGCATCAAAATGACAGGATTCACCATGATCTGACAAAGTGAAACCCATGCGTGCTCATACATTGCAAGCCTGATTTTTTAGGGCTGCGCACAGCGAGATGGGTTCATCCCGTATAAAAATAACATTCTAAGAATCTTTAAATTCAGCAGCCGGAATGCGAAGATTGCTTGGTGGGGCCCCAAACTCTAGGGGAGGGAGCTCACACTATTGCGAGGCCCGTCTTGCCAAAATCTTGGATCCGCCCCTGAACACGACCAATAAACTGATGACGTACGCATGATTGCCAGAATGATGATCGATGCACATCATCACTGAGCTGATGATCCTGTGAATAGGACACTGAAAGGATCATTGGTGCTTGGACTAGACCTTACTATACCTTTTTTAACCACACCCGGCATGACCGCACGCATGAAAGAATCAGCGCATAAATGTAGAATTAGCGCAATCGGCGTGTGATTGCGTCAGGTAGAACAAACGCAACAAAATGCAGCGACAGGACTCAAAGCCTCGGCACCTGGGCAGGGATCGGCAGAAGCGTATGCCTGGGCACCTGGGCAGAGATCGGTAGAAACGTAAGCTCTTTCCGCGCATTTAGATATTTGTAACATTTATAAGCAATATCTGGATATTTGCAACAGAGCGCCAAGCTAGTTCGGCATTTACGCCCTCGCTTGGGAATTGTATTGAACTGGTAAGAAAGAACGCTGTCAGTTTCGACGAGTTGCAAGAATTTCAGCAGCCAATCATCAGTATGGTTGCAATGATAGGATGTTAGATATATATATATATATATATATATATATATATATATATATGCATATATGATATAGATATATTTTATATAAATATAATATAATATAATATATATATATATATATATATATATATATATATATATATATATATATATATATATATATATATATATATATATATATGATTTGACATTTCCACGACAAAGATGACCTAAATCACACTCATCACACAGCACAATATTAGGTAACATGAATCGCGTTTTGCAGTTAACCCACAAACATACAGGATACAATAATAGCATCCATGCCGTAGTTTTCAGGCGAAATATAGATCGCCAGCATAGTTATTTGCATTTTTCATTTTTTTACAAACATCCGGTATGTGCTAAGCATCTACAGGAAGGTGCTTTCAAGCAAAAATCGCTGAAATTTATTTCCAACAGGTAACTACTCCTCACGCCCCGCTGGGTTTTTTTTTGGTCCTAG